CACTGGGGCATACGCTTTGCGTTTGGTCCACGGCAGTCAGTTCATTTCCTCCAAGGACACTTGGTGGTACTGTAATGTCATCTCGAGACCTCAGTGTGATGCGCCGCGCGAAGTGGGCGGAGTGACCTACTTTCGACGGACACGCGCAACGGACGTTCTCCGCAAATTTCCATTGCCTCGCTAAGACAAGTACAGACAAGTCGTGCGCCACTTAGTCACCTGGCCAATTGCAAATTCTCATAACATCAACGACGAGGAACATCTCGAAAGCAACACCTATAAAATGGCTGGACTTGCAAACGCTTTTAAGCTGTACAGCGACGTGGTGGAGAATATCAGGCTTAATGACTTCAAACTAGGAGTGGTCCAATCTCTGCTAAATGTTGATTATGGCTACACTTCGAGTCATCACTGTCACTCCATGCGACATGTGTTGGAGGGGTACCTAGAGGTCTAAAAGGAATTAACAAGATGAGATGTGTAGGGTGTTACGCAGCAATGTCCAAAGAGCAAGGATCTGCTCGAGCATCGAAAAGAACAAAAAGGGTCATCCCACGTTGCAGTAGGTTCAGGAAAATATTTCGCATTGATTGTTTCAATAAAAAACACAAGTCTTGTCGCCTAGAAATGTGCGACAAGACTTGTGTTTTTATTGAAACAATAAAAACGCATATGTGTTTGTCCTGAAAAAGAAGTCAAAGTTTAGTTTTGGGTGAGATTTTTACAAGGTTTGGAAAATCTTTGCTGGAAGAAACCATATTTGCTCCGATCATGGACCACGTTGTTTGTAGAAGTCTTAATGTTTTGTCAATCGAATAAACATAGAAAAACTCCAAAAAGTTGCGATCTCGCAAAAAAGGAGTGGTGACAAAACCTTGACGCGCATGCGCGTCACTCGGTCCCTCGCGGTCTGCAAGGCTTGACGCGCATGCGCGTCAAGGTGTCGTCAATGGGTTAAGAGAGTTTTCCTATCCAGGACAATTTCATCAGCAGAGAATATAACGTGTCTTCATCGTAAGAAGTTACTTTCGGAAAACAAAACTGCACTCAATAAGACACTAAGCAATCAGTGTTATCGGAAGGACGAACGGAAAAGCAACTTGGCAGAAAAAATGGACTGGAATGGGCGCCCTAATTCACGTATAGTCTTACTTGACGTATGGTTCATCACAGTATAACGTCTAGACGTTGGCTTTTTGGCCATGTTCACGCTACAGTGATGACAATGGCCAAAAGGGCTAACGTATGAAATGTGTAAACGTGAACTCTGAACGCTCAAAAAATGATATGAATGATATCAGCGATATGAAAAGTTACCAACACGACTAGAAGACAACCTTGCTTAGGCACATACTCGAGACTGCATTCACAATCGGTGACTGCAACCAGCAAAAGGTGACTGGCCCACCCACACGCAGTGAATATCCTGCCGCCCCTGTCGCCACTGTAGGGCATTACTTTGACAGTGCTCCAAGTTGACTGTTAGCCTTCGCCCTCTCGTCAAAACATTGTTATCAGGCTGATTGTGTATCATGCGATCAAATGATTTCCTTTTCCTTTAATTCGGACTTCACAAATATAATTTTAGTTGTATTCGCCATTTTTACAGCCATTTAACTTTTTTTTATCAAGGTGTTACCGTATGTATGTATCAGTTAGTTCGCACATTCTTGTGAAGGTTTCAAGATGCACGTCTGACACAGAGCCTCCACATCTTCAGTGAAACTGCAAGTGTTTACCAGAACACACGGAATTTTTGATGAAGGGACTTCTAAGAGCGGAATCTTGGAAATAAACTTTAACTAAAACCAAAGCTCGTACGACTATATGCTGAAAACGCCCGCCGCATACTATACAGTTGTTTACGACCGCCGTCATCAGCGGAAAAAGGAAATCATTTGGCCAAATGGCGGTTTATAGCATCGCAAATGCTTTCCGAACTGCGGAATCTGTCTAAAGGGTAATGTAACGTAACAGCGAGGCAGTGTTTATTATATTTACACTGAAATCACTTTCTGTCGCCAACCTCTACAATCTCGTAACTCCCAGATCATCCATCAAAACGTCCAACTCCTCCATAAACACGAATGTTCAACGAGTTCTAGACTTTGGCCTCAAAATGATCAGCTGTCGCCTCTTTCTCATGTTGGGTTCCAACGATCCCGTCACACCCCACATCACACACTGAATTAGCGAGCCTCCACTTTCACCAGAGTGTGACGTTTTGGAGATTAATTAGTGATTAATGCCCTCTAACGGCTAACACCAGTTGTCAACTTTTTGTCATCAACTATATGTGCTCTGGTTGCTCCCTCTATATAATATTCGCATACCAAAACTGCGCTGTCAGTGCGGAATGCAAAAGGGATCCAATGATTCTAGCATACCGATCCTCATTATCAGCCCTTATTTGTTGTTACCGGATCCTATAACCAAACGGACCATTGTCAAATCTGGTGTTCATCATTCAAAGAGCTTGCTTCAAGGTTCAGGACTGATTGCTCAATACTTTCTGCTCCACATCTCAGTGCTATTATGGTCACTGACCCATGGTGTTATAGATGATACGCTGAAAATTAGGAAACAGAAACAGAAACAATGTAATATTTACAATACAATGACATCCCGGAAAACCTATAAAAAAGCGTGATTCACGCTTTTTAATAGGTTTTCCGGGATGTCATTGTATTGTAAATACAACTATGTTCTATCACTTGAATGCTGAAGGAGTGGTACTGTTGGAAGAGCAGAAGCAGTAAAGGGAAGAGAAGTGAGGAACGGGATCGGATTTTACAATGACCTTACGGTAAAATAAAATGAATTAAATGTGAATTAGAGCTGCACTGGAATCATATTGGGTATTCTTTTTTTTCTGAAAAACCAAGCATGAATAAACAATTCCACAGGTGGCGAGTTACATAAGAGAAGAGCGACCACGATGAAAACATGTGAGCTAGCGATTAGGAAGAAGAAATTAAATATATTCTTTTCATTGTGACTGCTTAGAATGGGAGCTACGAATTCAGACCTTACTGCATAGCGAGTAAATTTAGGTCTGGCTTACGGTATAGCTTTTTATACGCGATTGCACTGCGGGATTGGAATTTTACGCGGTAACAGACTTTAGAGCCTTTGCTATTTTACAACTCCTTGAAAGAGTACGGATTTTTTTCACAGATGGGTCCCCACGAAGAGTATTTCCGTCTTTTTGTGTAATCATTTATTTGTTGGGGGCTGCAGAACAGAAGAACTTAAACAACAAAATCAGACAAACACTACTTGCTGCAGTTGCGTTGCGGCCTTCGCA